GTCGATAGAGGAAATTAAGACCTGGAGAGTTTAAATAACATGCCCAAGATTCAAAGCAAAAAGTGAGCAAGGTAGATTTTTATTATTTCTTTAGATGTGTGGGTCAAACTGATTAAAAGACTTTCCACAAATCTCAGAGAATGATCCCAGGTTCCTGTATTTTGCTCAAGTGTTTGTTCCAGAGTCTTCAAAAGATTATGTGAGGATAGTGGATGTGAAATGTGTTTTCCTTTCAAAATATAAGCACGTCCCCCCCCCAACCCCCCGTTTTTTTCCTGGTAGATTGTTGGCTGCTCAGGCCATCTGTTTTTGGACCTAATGGGATTATTGGTGCAGATCGTATAGACTGACATTCTGTCTATGGGGACGGGCATTCAGGACATCCGTAAGGAGTTGGGACATCCATAATATGCCAACCGATTCCTCTTTCTTGACTGCCCGAAGCAGATCCTCATGCCTTAAAATGGTTCATTGCAGGTGTGTGTGTCTGTCTCTGTGGTGTCCCTTTCTCAGCGCTCTTGATTTCCCATCTTGACTTAAGATCAAATTTGAGAGTCTTACTGGCATTTGAAACTTGTGCCTCACCACTTCTTGAAAAAGCTTATAGTCTGTAGTCAGAAATGCAGAATAAGAAAAACCCCCTAAAAGTGAAGTTTGAAGGAGCTTGTGTTTAGTTTTTGCTTTGGGGGAGGGAAGCTGAGTTACTCCACAAAGTACACTCCTGAGTTATTGATGTTTCTTTGTGTACTTTTAGTTGAAAAGGCTGACTTTGTATAATGGTATTTGTATTATTGTTATTAAAAGCTACCCTTTATTGAGGTCTGGGAGCAGCGCTGGACAGTAAACCTGTTTTGACTGGGGAGTCTTTAATTTGATGCCATGTCATTGCAAATTAAGCCAGTGTGCTGGCAAATTAAGCCAGTGTGCGCGCACGCACACACACACACACTCTACCACTATCAGATCTTGGTTTATGTGCTGGGGGCATTCCACTTAAGGAGAACAAGGGGGCTGCTTCTCTCATAGAGACTGAATCCCAATAAGGAGAAACAGGTAATTGCAGCAATCCATATTTTAGGTGTTCTTTTTTAGAACAGGGCATCTGAGGCCTCCCTGTACCTTGATCTCTCAGGGGCCTATGTGAGGCCTGCTGATCACAGGTCACCAGTGAGCAGACGGCTTGGCGTGTGCTGCCTCTAACTTTGTTCCTCTCATTCTCACTTGCCCATCTTCCTTTGGGGCCTGGGCTGGGTTTCTGTGGGCCAGATGATGGGTGGTGCTGTGGGTGATGCAGCCATGTGATCTTCTGTCATCGGAGGCCTGCTTGAGATTCCCTGGGATATGCAGAGTCACATTTGCCCTTTAAGGAAAATCTGGGTGCCCACTCTCAGTGATGTCACCCTGCCCTGTGGTCAGGGATGGAGTTTTCTTTTTTTTGTTTTTTTGGTTTTTTTTGAGTTGGAGTCTCACTCTGTCGCCCAGACTGGAGGGCAGCGGCCGCTCCCGGCCACCGCAGCCTCGACCTGCTGGGCTCCGGCGATCCTTCCGCCTCAGCCTTCCAAGCAGCCGGAATTACAGGCATGCGCCACCACGCCCGGCTGATTTTTTGTTTTAGTGTAGAGATGAGGTCTCACTGTCCAGGCGGGTCTCGAACCCGCGGGCTCAGGCCATCCACTCCCCTCAGCCTCCCAAAGGCGCGGGATGACAGGCTGAGCCACCGAGCCCGGCAAGGGATGGAGTTTTCTGATGCTAGTGGAGCTGATGGGCAAGGGTGGTACTCTTTCACCGTGGCACACTGGACAGCTTTTTGCAAAGTCCTTCCTCAACACGATCTCATTTCATCTTTACAGAGAAAGGAGACTTATTCCCACTTGACGTTGACCAGCTGTGAATGGCTAGGTAGTGAAGGATAAGGTGCAGTTGGATTCTGGTCCATCAGGAAGATAGAAACAGATGATTTTTATCCTGTCAGAGGCTTAGTGAATGGAATGTCTTTATTTTGTTTTTCTAAACCAGATCTATAGTAAATAGAAATGTCTTTGTATGTGACAAAATGTGACATTTCCAGAAGTTTTATTGTGTGTCATCAAGAGAGCTTGGATAACAAACAAGCGAATTTAACACAGACCTCTGGGCTGGGTACATAGTGGGCGTTCCCTCCTGGTAGCCAAAGATGGTTGATAGCATCTCCCTGCTGAAGATGAACAGTTAGATATCACTTCCTTCTCCCTGGGGTAATTCTGACAAATGAGACCCACACACTCAATTAGCTCTGAGAACAGCACAGCCCACAAATGCCTGCCCAGCATGACGGATAAATGGTGCGATAAGGAATGGATTTAGGCCAGGGCATCTGGGTACCCGAGTCTATAGGGCTAGCTCTGCTGAGTCCAGTTCTGTGTTCTTGTGAATTTCTAGAATTGCTCATGGATACACCCTTTCTCCCAACCTGTACTGGCCATTCTACTAGACTTTCTACTACCCCCTTTGGGTATCGCCTTGCTAAGCTTTTTTTCTTTTTCTTTTCTCTTTTTTTTTTTTTTTGAGTTGGAGTCTCACACTGTCGCCCAGACTGGAGTACAGTGGTACGCTCCCAGCCACCACAGCCTCACCCTGCTGGGTTCCAGCGATCCTTCCGCCTTAGCCTTCCAAGTAGCCAGAACTACAGGTGCATGCTACCACGCCCAGCTAGTTTTTGATTTGTTGTAGAGATGAGATCTCGCCAAGTTGCCCGGGCGGGTCTTGAGCCTTCGGGCTCAGGCAGTCCACTCGCCTCGGCCTCCCAAAGTGCTGGGATTACAGGCTGCGCCACCGAGCCCAGCCCTTGCTAAGCTTTTGTAGTTATTTCCCTCCCAAGTACAACCTGCATATACAACTCCAAGTCATTATTTTTCTTTGTGTACTTTTAGTTGAAAAGGCGTCTTTGTATAATGATAATTTGTATTGTTGTTATTAAAAGCTACCATTTATTGAGGTCTGGGAGCAGCACGGGGCAGTATGCCTTCCATTCCCACCACCCCTTAGTCATATCGCTAGGAATTATATTTGTGTGCTCAGGTCTTAGTGGCTCCAACTTCTTCTGAAACGTGTTGGAAATTCAACTTGTTTTCCAGATTGATGGTAGCAATAGGGATGACCAAGTGACAGGGTTGGCCCAGGACTTGCCCCGTGTTAAGGGTGGATATAATGGGCAATGTGTTTCTAGCTAAAGGAAAAGAGGACACATTTTTGGAGATGTCATGGCAGGGGACCATAAGGAAGGAAGCAGGCAGGGCTGGGCTTGGATAAGGTTTGCCGAGGAACCCTTCTAGCCAATTTGGAGTGTCGCCCCTCGCGCGCATTGACTTCTGCCTAAATATTGATTACTGTGATTGTGAAGTCAGCAAGTAAATTCATAGATTTCTATATTCGTTGGACAAAACCCTTTCTGGAAAACCCTTCATTCAGTCCTTTCTTTTTTCTTTTTGAGTTGGAGTCTCACTCTGTCGCACAGACTGGAGTGCAGTGGCCGCTTCTGGCCACCGCAGCCTCGACCTGCTGGGCTCCGGCGATCCTTCCGCCTCAGCCTTCTGAGTAGCCGGAACTACAGGCATGCGCTACCACGCCCGGCTGATTTTTTGATTTATTGTAGAGATGAGGTCTCGCTGCCCAGGCGGGTCTCGAACCCGTGGGCTCAGGCAATCCACTCACCTCAGCCTCCCAAAGGCGCAGGATGACAGGCTGAGCCACCGAGCCCGGCTTCCATCAGTCCTTTCTTGGGGAATAAATCAAAATGGAATTGGAAGAAGTCTTGGCGTGAGCTGTCCGTATGTGGTTCACTGGAATGAAGTGGGGAAGAAAGACTTGTGTTATTTCTGTCTTTCTCCCTGCCCGCACCCCAAACTTGCCTTTACCCTGGCCCTTCCTGACAGTGGGATCCTTGGGAAAGTTCTGAGTGTGTTTCTTCATACTTAGAGGAAACCATTCCAAATGTTGTATGCTTATATTTTTCTTATATAAAAAAAATTAATGCAAAACATGCTTTTATGTATCATAAATGTTTTAAGTCCTAAAATATAAAATCCTGAAAACCAGCTAAGCTCATTTAACGTTTTAAAGCACTGCTGTCTTCTCTCGTGCTCTGCATTTAAAGGAAACAGTCATGGCTGGGGTGAAGTCAAAACATAGAACTGGTGTTGTAAATAGTCTGTGCTGGAGACAGGGTGATACTCGTGTTAAATTGGATTTCCCCATGGGAAGAGACAAAATTAGGAATTGCATTTCACCTTCAATCTTATTTGTGTCTGTTTCCTATTGCTCTTTTATTTTCTGGGCATCCTTTCTGTTCTCCCATCTAAAGAACACATGGAAACCCAAACCTTCTCAGCCCCTGATCCTTACACCACCGTGTCCTTTCACTTCACTGCTGCATTTCCTGGAGTGGCATCTCTGCTCTTGGTCCCCATCTTCTGTTTGTCTTTGGCCTACTCCAGGAAGCTGCCGTGGAGAAACTCTGTGTTCCTGGAACCGCCACATTCCAAGACTGACATCTATTATCCAGGAAAAGGAAACCATGCTTTGGCGCTCCTAGGAATAGACGAAAAAAGCTACCATTAGAATCACGTTTGTTTTAAGAAGTCCTTCTTTCAAAGTGGCAAATCTGTGAATTTATAGTTAGAAGAAATTCACAGAAAACCCAGCATGCATGTTTGTGTCGGCATGGACGAGCACGTTATGGGATAGATCCATACGTGTTTTTCTTTTAACATCATGCATGTTGACAAATGGTTATTGTCTGTTTATGTGGGATACACACTTGAGTGTACATCCATGTGTGTTTGTGCGCGAATTGTTTACACCGCAGTAGAAGTGATGTCCTCACCGTCAAGTAGTTGACCCTCTGTGGATATAGGTTGTCCATGCCTCAGAATGTAAGGGTAAAAGGACAAACATGCTTTTAGCAAACGTGAGGCGTACCTGGGTGGGCTTCCCACTGACTGGCAGCCCTGTGTCTTGTGTAGACTGCAGAGAGATCCTGCTTCCCATGATGACCGATCAACTCAAGTACCATCTAGAGAGACAGGAGGATCTGGAGGCCTGCTGCCAGCTGCTTAGCAATATCCTGGAGGTGCTGTACAGGAAGGATGTGGTGAGTGGCCGCTCTGCCTGCCCCGGCTTCCCTCGAGGGCTGCCCAGGAAGCATCTTCCTCTCATTTGCTGGAACCCCAGCCTCACGGTACAATGGTATACTTTATTCGTTAGGAATGAATGTTGTATTTTATTCATGACTTACTTTAGGGCTTAGCGTCTCTCTTTCTCTCTGCTTCGTTGCAGCACCCTTAAATTATTTTTTCATTTATGTATATAGGACGATTATTACATGATAACATTTATCCTGTTGCATTGAAAAGAGGTTTTTAAAATTTTTTTTATTTCTTATGTCTTCGTGGCAAAATGCCTCCCAAGATTTAGATTTGAATCCTTAAGGTCAGACAGAAAGGCCTTGGTGTTTACAACTGCCTAATTACCTGCATTCTTTCTTTCAGTTCTTGCATTTATAAAAGTAATGCATGCTTAAAGTTAATTAAAAAAAAAAAAAAGCCAGTGGTGGTCCTGAGAGTTATAACGAAAAGAGTTCTGCTGCTTTCCTGTGGGTCAGTGCTTTCATGCTTTCTTAACTGCCCCCCGCAGCGTAGGTTTCCATTTGCATTTCTAAATTGCATTCTTCTAGTGACTTTTTTAAAAATTCCAAATCACTGTCAGGACATGTGGAAGAGTCTCACCCTATGCCTTCTACTCCTACCTGTGCCTGTGTTTTTGCCCGTGTGTACACATACCTGTGACATCACTGATTTTCCAAGTGTCTCTGGAAAGGTGAAAACAGGGCCTTGTCCATCTTTGTCTCTGGTCCTGGGCAGAGTGGCCAGGATTTTGGAGTAGGTAGGGCTTGATTTTAGCTCTCTCCTGTATGACTTTGGGAGACTTTCCTAGGGAACACACACACCTACCTGGTTGAACAGCCCTCTCCAGCACCTGCTCATTCTCTCAGTACCTGGTGAGTGCTCCTGAAGCAGGAGTTTAGATTAAATCAGTTCAGGGTGATGGTAGTGATATCAGCTCTTCCAGGGATGTTAACTTCTGGAGAGGTTTCCGAAACCTTCACCCAAGGCCAGCGTCCAAGCTGCCCATTCCGGTCCCATCTCTGTTCTTTATCCTCTTTTTAATTTTCATTTTAGATTCATGGGATACACATGCATATTCGTGACATGGACATGTATAGTGGTGGGAATGGGCCTCAGGTGGCCCATTGCGCTTCCCTGTTCTTACTGGAGAAAAGTTTGGGGGTCAGGAGGTCATGGGACCAGACCCCATGGAGGAGGTGAAGGGCCCAGAGGGGCTGGATCAGGTCCAGCTTTCCTGGAGAAGAATCGACAATCCTGTCCCACACTAAGTAAAAGAGTAAATTTTTACTGGTGGAAAATGCCATAGCAGTATGAATTTTAGATAGTTTACTGAAGGCTGTTCAAACATTCTATTCTGTGTGACTGTTTAAGTTATTTGGATTTGACATGCAGAGCAGTCTAGGACTGTTATCCTCCTGCCTTTCATTTACAGATGGCCGAATGTCTTTAGAAAACTAATTGGTGGGCTAATCAGGGATCATAAACATTATATTGTTTAAACAGATTTGCTTTTATTTTTAAGGTTTGCTTAAATTAAATTACAGTGATTATATATATAACAAATTATCATTAATGGACTATAATTAATAAAATCCCTTGAGTTTTCTTTGTGAAGGCTTTTGCCTTTGACAAGGGCCATTTTTCATCTCATTAAGGGTTGTAATTGATTTACTCTTTACAGGGTAAATGGATTCAGTGGCAACCGCTGGGGCTTGCATGTTAATGTTTGACTTTGGTGTTGGCATTCACTGGTGTGTCCTTCTCCAGGGGCCGACGCAGAGGCACGTTCAGATCATCATGGAGAAGCTTCTCCGGACAGTGAACCGAACCGTCATCTCCATGGGGCGGGATTCCGAACTCATTGTAAGTGCTCCGTGTCCTATGTGTGGCTATTTAACAGGGGCTGAGAACATCTTTCCCAGGAAGCCTTTAACATTCAACCGGTTCTTCCCCGATGCGCTGCTTCACCCGGAGCTCACTTTCTTCCAATGTAGTGAGCAGTCGAGACACAGTCTGCTCTCTAAAATGTCCTCCTTTTCCAAATGAATGTCAAAGTCCGAGGGTCAGCAAACCCACATTTTAGAGACAGAAACCTTTGTTCTCATTTTCTCATTACTGACTTCTAGCAAAAGACGTGTGCTTTTTCCTCAGTCCTCATTCTTCTATATAGTGTTTACATTTAAGGTACCATTAATAAAACTTTATGAAGGACTCTAAAAAGTTACTGAGATACTCCAGCTTAGCTCTTTTATTGTCTACCCTAAATGTATTGCAGGTGTTTTTCTTATACAGAGGAAGTGGGTGGGAGCACTGTTAATATTTTTTAAGATGTTTAAATAATTTAGACATTCTTTCAAATTTGCTATCTTCATGCCTTTTCCCAGGGTTTACCACTGTCCTCTCCATTCCCATTATTCTTAAGTTTATTCTCTTAGGCAAAAGGTACACAAGTAGATCCCATTCAACTTTTAAAAATTTTAGTACACGTTTCCATTTAACTAACCTCGATGGAGGGCCTTTCACACACACAAAAAATAATTTCTCTAACAAAAGAACAAAACGTCCTAGATTAGAGTTTCCCCTGTCCATCAGACAAGGCACACTGGTCTTTCTCGGTGTGCCGCCTTATTTTTTTCTGCATATCTAAAGAGTGAACAGAAGAGTGAAGCGTATCCCCTTTGACAGCATAGCATGAATTGGATGCTGGGTTCCTGTCTGTTTCTGTGGCTGGTGTCACAACAGGCAGCACAGTTTTGGGTGAATCACAGGCAGGTAGCATGGGAGGACAAATGCCACCTCAGTATGTTCTCATCAGTAAAATAGTCTAGTTTTTGTCTCAGAATTTCAGCACAGTCTCTGTTCAGATATTCCTTTTAAAGGAGTATCCCGGCCAGGCACAGTGGCTCACGCCTGTAATCCCAGAACTTTCCGAAGCTGAGTCGGGTGGATTGCTTGAACCCAGGAGTTCAAGACCAGCCTGGGCAACATAGCAAGTGCCCGTTTCTAAAAAAAAAAAAAAAAATTGCATGGTGACACGTGCTTCTAATCTCAGTTACTAAGGCAGGAGTATCACTTGAGGCTGCAGTGAGCTATGATCAATGATCATGGCACTGCCCTTCAGCCTAAGCAACAGAGCAAGACCTGTCTCTTAAAAAAAAAAAAAAGTGTATGTGAAGAATAAAAGTTTGGACTATGACGCGTATGACTTAGGAAATAAAATGTTGCTATGTAAATTGGCTTTATTCCCAGTGGACCTTTCCATTATTATTTTAAACGTAAGTTTGCTTGTTTCTTGGTATCCTTCACCATAGCCGTTCTGGTTGATAGTCTTGGAACACTTTGTATACTTCATGTGGCATGGATACGGTACCCCGTGGAACCGGACCTGCTGTGTTTCCAGGAGCACTCCTGAGGTCTGGCCATCCTGTCTCTGTGGGTCATGCTCCAGGAGCACTTGGCATACTCCCACGTATGGAACTGGGAAAAGGCCTAACATAGGGTGAATGGCATGTGGCTTGAAGTTGAAGCAAGTGTTGTGTCATTCTGCCAGCACCCCTCTTGGAAAGCGCAGGATTCGAGAGGCTTGTGGTGACACAATGGCTCTCAGAAACTTATAGTGAGTAAGGGATGGGCATTTTGGAAGTGGTCTGCCCAGTGAGCAGGTGACAGAGATGGCAGATATGGAGACAAGTGAACTGATGAGACAGTTCTGTCTCTGACTAAGGGGACAAAGTTCTCCTGTCTCTACTTCAGGGTGAATGGTCCTGTCTCTGGCTAGGGGTCCACGGTTCTGTTTCTGGTTGGAGGGGGTGGTAAAATCCTATCTCTAGCTAGGGGACATAGCCCTGTCTCTAGTTTCTGGTTAGGGAGTTGCAGTCCTGTCTCTAGTTAGGGGTATATGGTCCTATCTCTGGTTAGGGGGCATGGTCTTGCCTCTAGTTGAGGGTACAGTCCTGACGCTGGTAAGGTGGCACAGTCCCGTCTCTGGTTAGGGGTACATTGTTCTGTCTCTGGTTAGAGAGCACAGTCTTATCTCTAGGTAGGGGTCACAGTCCTGTCTCTGGTTAGGGAGCATGGTCTTGTCTCTGGTTAGGGGTGCATTGTCCTGTCTCTATGTAGGGGACATGGTCCTAGCTCTGGTTGGGAGCGCAAAGTTCTGTCTCTAGTTAGGGGGAACAGAGTCCTGTCTGTGATTAGGAGGACCCACTTCTGTCTCTGGTTAGGGTATGTCCCTATCTCTAGCTGCAGTCTTTATGCTAGGTATGTGTTCATTTAGTATGTAGCCCACTCAGCAGTTAAACAGGGGAGAAGAGGACAAAGAGAAAGCCCAGGAAAGTTTGAATGGGCATATTGGAATGTGGAGAGATTCTAAGATGTGCTGACAGCCTAATCAAGGGAAGAACAGAGCCTGCAGGGTGTGGTATCTCCTCTCAGACCATATGGTCCACGGTGTCTGGGCAATTTCTCCTGTCTCTGGTTTAATGATCATCGTGCTTATAATAATGGCAGCTCTTCACTGAGCAGGTATATGTGCTGAGCACTGTGTAACCAATGGGAGATTCTCACTAGTCCTCACCCTCATCGTACATAAACAACTGCAGCACATGCCCTGCAGAGAAGAAATTGTTCCAGATGGCACAGCTAGCGTGGCAGCAACTGCTTGGAGCCTGGGTTTGGTTTTGGTGCCCAAGCTTGCTCTTGGCCTCTTTTATATGACTGAGGCACAAGGTGCTGATTTCAGGACTCCATTGCAGGAGCAAGCGAAGAGGACGGTGCGCTGCTGCTAGGTCTCCATCCTAGAGAGGGAGCAATTGTCCGGGAACGCGTGCACCTCCCTGTTTCTCACCTTTCGTTCATTTCCATGGGGGCAAGCTTCAGGATTTCCTGGAGAGGGAGGGGCCAGAGCAAAAGCTGGGTGTCCATTTCCTGAAGGGCTGGGGATGCTTCAGCTCGGAAGAACCCATGTGTTCTGGAGAGCCCTCAGGAGTTCCTCAGGAAGAACCCTGACATGTTCTAAGAAGGAGTGACAACAAGGGCTCGCCTTCTCTTTACCCGGCTGGAGCCATGCTCGAATTGAACAGTTGGCCCGAGCCCAAGATGCTGTCAGGGAACAGACAAGGCCGACCAAACTGCCCATCTCCCACGGCCCTGACCTCAAACAGAAGCCTCTAGAAGCCGAATCCTCCCACTCCAACCTCTCTAAGATTGTTCAAAAAAAAAATGTCCAAAAGTTCTCTGGAATTTCTTTTGTAGAACTAAGCTGCCGTGGAAGAAATCTGAAAAAAATTCTGAATGCGATATAATTATTTAATGTGTGATGACAATATCGAGATGTTTTCAAGAAGGGCCTTTGCGCTCACAAAAAATTGGGGCTGTTGAGAAGGATCTTTCCATCTTAAAAACCAGCCATGAATCCCCCTCTGGTGTCAACAGAAGAGTGTTAGGGTGTCTAACCTTGCTCTCCCAATTTGCTTCAGATGTAGATTTGTGTGTTAACTTTTTAATGTCACTGTTGTTGCTCTGTGAATTTAGATTAGAGGAAGATTGGGCCAAAAAAAATATCCCTGACAAAGTGGACAAAAAAACTAATCAGTGGACCCTCTAGAGTGGAAAAAGAGCAGAAAATAGTTTATAGATCTGTTTGGGGTAAGCTCTGCCATTCCATCATACCTTAGAGATTTCAGTCTTTATGTGTTACTCATTTTTGCATAAATACAGTAGAAATTATGTAACTATGAGTCAGCTTAAAAATTCGAAGTAACCACTGAAAATGGATTTTAAAAAATTAAAGTGATTAAAAGAGAACTCTTGAATTGATATGTTTCACTTAAGGATTTATTCCATGATGTTGTTAACAATAATACTAGAAATGTGACCTCTCCTTCCATTGGAATAAGCTATTAATTGCAAATGATGTTAAGGCCTGATGATTTCCTGGTCTGTGTCTGTAACGAATAGAGAATTGGGAACTTCACATGTAATTTGATAAGTTGTGATATACAATGTAAGACTTTTTTTTTTTTAATCTGTGTCTGTTATTTTAGAAAAAACTCTACTTTGCAGTAAGTTGTCATTTACTTTAGTTGATTATGTTTGAAATGGGAGATTGGAATGCATCTCATGCATGGGATAATAATGTGCCACGATCCTAAGTATTACACAGTTAAAAACAAAAACAAACAAAAACAAAAACCTCCCTTTGGCGGGAGTAGAATTGCAGATCACGTGGATACCTAGCATAAGCCCTGACACAGAAGCTTTGCAGTGACCTTGTCACAGAATCTAAAGGTCATTTATTTTTACTCCAGTAGCCTGATGCTGTAGAATAATTGAGTGAAATACTTAGTTTTATACTAAGTCAGACTTCAGATTGTATCTTTACCTTCCTTTTTGAGAGGCTTCCTAGACCCTCAGCATTAAGCTGCTTTCTTCATTATCATGTGCTGTTCTAGCAGGTGGCCTGGTCAGCCATTTGATGGGTGACCTTGGGATCCCTACACATGTGTGTATGTCTTCCTGGAGTAAGCCCTTGTCCACAGACCTGGGATGAGAGTGAATAAATTGATAACACATAGCAATGTTCCTTCTAGGATATTATCTGCTGTTCCTTCTTTCAAATGAACAGACTTACATTCTGTTAATCGGTCCTTTAAAAATCTAATCGAGTGAGAAGGCCTTTTAAAGATTTTTCTATGGCCTGGATACACACCAGAAGACTGGAAATTACTAATCACTAAAATGAAAATGTGGACTTCTTTTAAGGAAGAGTTCCCTTCAAAAATTCAAGAAGCAGGCTTAGGTCAGGGGAAAATTCTGCCTGGATTCACTACATATCCTCGTGACCACTGAAGCATCCTGGCTCATTAGACTCAAGTGATGGAAGTTATTTTGTTTCTACTCTAACCACCTACTGTGGGGGACATCGGTGGGATGGGAAGTGTGTGTTTCATTGTGACAACAACATCACTAGTGGGGAATTTGCTGTTAGTGAAAATCCAGTCCTTTCTTTCAGCCTGGGTGATTTATAAGGACCTGACATGCTTCTTCATTTGGAAAATAGTATAATAGAATTGGCTTCCCAGTGAATAAGCGCCTTTTTACCAAGACTCATAGCCAAATATTTTCACAAAGATGTCAGATCCCCATGCATGAACATTCATTTTAAGATGTTTATTCTATTGGAGTTTAAATATAAATGTGCTTTTAAAAACTGCTATTTTTAAATCTTCATTTGCAAAAGAAGAAATGCATTCTAAGTGTTTCAAATGGACAGTGTCTACCTTTTGTATACAGGTATCATTTAAAAAAGTCTCTAATTGCACTATTTACTAATAAATCTACTTGCTTTCAGAAAATAACCCTAACACATGTGTATGTGTGTGCAGTGATGATTTTATAAGTTCATTTTTGTTTGGTGTTGCTACAACAATTTTGGCTTTATTTTTATATTCCTGGTGTTTTTTCGAGGTTGGTCACTAACTGTGGGTTTTCTGCAGAAAAAGTAAAAACAACATAATTAAATGGCAAAATATGCTCTGCAGTTATTGTATATTTATTCCAGACTGAGAAGGTGCCTTAAGTTAATGATTGAGCTGCTTGAAATGATCTTGTCTTTGGCCAGGCTGTATGCTACACATTACAGCATGATTACTTTATGCTAAGTCACAAAATAGGATGTTATCTCTGATCTTTGAATCATATGACTGTTTACTACAAGTAAATACTTTGCACGCTTAGCCCCTGTCCATTGTGCTAGTGATAGGGTTTTTATAGATCAAAGAAGATGTGTTGGTATGGAAAGCAGCTGCTCTGATCTGTAGGTGACATTGCACCAATAAAACTGTCTCCATTAGTAAGTCAAATTTTACTTGCTGATATAAATGCTCTCAAGGAATCGATCCATCATCAGTGGATTTCTGTAAACGTGTTTGGAACAGCACAGACTGGAAAAGTTCATTGCCCTTGTCTTATTTTCTTCTTGCTGTTCTCTTCTATGAAAGGCAAAAAGTGAAACACTTGTATTTGATGGTGTGTCTTCACAGTGTTCACTGATGATTGTGTATCTCGGTTCTGATATGCTTACGGTGGTCTGCCAAGCAACACTGCGCTGCAAGACATTCTCCTTGTAATTGTGTGTAGGTTGGAATCCGTTAGCCTGACGCTTGTCCAGGGACTATGACACCTAATTGTCCAGGCACATCTCATACCTCTGTGGTGATAGACCCTCAGCAGCCTCTCAAGATGCACGGGAAACGTATGCAAGCCAAGGTAGCAGGGTTTCCTACACCATGAGTCCCTTTCTATTTGTACTCCACTAGAGGGTCTGAAATTGAAGGAGCAGATGCAGGGTCCCTGGGACTTCTGTCTCTTGGTGGTGAGTTGCACACTTGTAGAGTGACTGACAGGTACCCCTGTGGCAGAATGCCCTTCGATGTATCTGTGTCTTAGAACAGGGCCTTTGAGGCCACACTGGTAGGTTGCTCAGAATTGATTATAGAGACCTGGCAGCCTCCTTCTGCCTGCTGTGGGATGGCGTACCAGGCCTGTCTTCCTTTTCCACCTGCATTTCTGGCTTTCGTCCCCTTCTTTTCCCCTGAGGAATGTGTGAGGCTAGCAGGAGTCTCAAGTGCAGGTTTACAGTGTCCCCACCCTTGCACATGGACTCTGTTGCTGCAGATATCAGGAAGAGAGTGGTGATCTCGCTTCTCCAGATTCTTCAGCGGAGGGAGCTGCCAGCCCACCTATGAAGACAGGTCAGTATGAGGCTGGTCTCAGAGGAGAGGCGGGCACCCAACACAGCTAGGGCACCGTCTCCCACCAGGGAGGGGAAGAAGAAAAGAAGGAAGTGGCTCAACCCCTGGGGATAAGGGCTTGTCCTATGGAGGGTCTAGAGAAGGTGCTTCCACTGGGCCATCAGAAGTTCTGCTATGGCAACACGTGCTAAGTTTAGTTGTCTGCTTTGAGGTTTCCTAAAAACTAGACCTCAGGTAGACACATCCTGTTGTGAGCCTGTACTGTGCCCTGTGTACCCTATAAAGTCACCCTGTCTTCCTGGAGGCCAACGCCCATGCCAGAGTGCATGAATGGGCAAACATTTCAGTCCCACCCCCTCCCAGTTCAGGCCAGTAGGCAGCACCCAGGCTAGATAGTGGTCTAATCTTTTCGCAGCCCCCATGGAATGATTATCAGCCCAAAGAGTCTTCCTTCATTACTTTCTTAGATTACTTTTATTTTCCAAAATTATTGAGGCCTTGAAATAACTTTAATAGCCACATAAAACATTTTGTTTGTTTTTTTATTTAAAAATTAATAAAGAACTTAATGACAAGTATAATAATTTGATCTCTATACGTAATGCCATGTGTACATCTAGATGAGGGAACACTGTACGTTTTACCTTGGTTTCATATCAGAGTTTTTACTTGACTCTTTCCAAGAGAAGAATCACCATCTGTTAGTGACACATTGCAATTAAACTATGAAATGACTCTGAAAATATTTTTTTTTCTATTTTGGAGATACTTTTATTTTTACGGAGGAATTACTTTATCTTCAGAGATTCATTTTAGACTCTGAAAATGTTAATCTTTCTTTTTTGGGTATAGACTGGTTGGAAACAGTGACATTATTTTATATACTAGGATGTCCTCTTGTTTAGACAGATTTATAGTACTAATTAGGAAGCTGCTGACACCCTAATTTCAATTCACTGAGATAGTTGGGATTCTTAAAACATAAGGAGAGATAACTTGTTGCAAACATTTTTATAACTTCAGTTAAAAACAGTATAAAAACATGAAACACATTTTTAAATTTTTAGTCTACATGAAACAATTGCACTTCCTTTATGGAACAGGATCAGCTTGCTCGTTGTTCTTGCACAAAAATATTTCTTAACACTGTTGACTAATCTTCAAGGATCTGAATCCTCATAGAGTGTTTCCGCAAAAGTTTGTGTGTGTGTGTGTGTGTGTGTTTTAAATCAAAGCATACATCTGCAATATTGTTTGAGTAAACCCCAAAGAATGTTTACACAATATACTCTTTATTTCTTTCAAGTCCCAGTTTGATTACTGATCACTAGGTCTCTGTAGAATCCAAACACTTAGAACTAAAATAGATTTTCTGTTGAGTCGGGACGAAAATGCATTGCAAGAAGTAGCTCCAACTGGAAAAAGCAGGCTGAGATCCTTTCACCAAGGTTAGCCACGTTGTGTTCAGCATCTAATGAGTGAGGTTTGCATGTCAACACTTCATTAGATGTGACACTACTGGACAGAAACTTCAAGACTAAGTTTTCTTGTATGTTCACAAACTGTTCAAAATTTAAGTTGTACAAAAAAAGGCAAAGTAAGATCCCTACTTTCTATTATGAAAAGCAAAAAAATTGATAGACAAAGTTAATAAGTTAAGGGGTTTGGTTTCTATAAAAAGATACTCGCAAAGGTGCAAAGAAATGAGTGAAAAAATAAAGAAACGAAGATTTACATTGCAATGTGTAATCAAGAGAGAACTCTCAGTGTTACTGTTGATTTAAAAAATACCTAAAAACATTTGATTCACAGCTTTCCCCTAAGTATGTCATTTAGTATAGGTTAAGTGTTAGGCGACATCAAGTTTGTCCATTGGTAGCAGCTAAACTAAACACGCTGTGTTTCTTTGAGATGGTCAGGTCTTCCACCGTCGTTACAAAGCACAACGGATTGCATAAAACATCAGGCCTCGCTTACAGTGCCGAGCAATGTCTCAGAGGATTGATCCACAATCCACAGAAACACTTTGCGCCATGGCACACCATGCCTCTGATTTATTGGCGACTGTATTAGCCATTGTGTATCTCTATGTGTGTTTTCAAATTCTTGCCAGAATTTATCATTTGGCCTTTGGGTACCAAAAGATTAAAAACGAGCTCTAAGAAAGCTTAGTGTCCAATAGCTCTGACCCTGTCAACTTGCAGTGATTAAAGGCATATCCTGACTTTAGGGGACTCCTGGCTGCCGGCCATTTGGAAAATGAGCAGTAAACATGTCTTAAGTCTGGAGATGAAGAGGATGCTGAATTTGAGGTGTCAATGTGACACTGAGATGTGGTCACTTGGCTTAGCGCTACAGCACATGAAGGCAAATATACATATAGTCACATTTTAGAGATTATTCATGGTCTCCGACCACTTGAAAAAATTGTGCTTTCTCCGGAATTTGATGTGCTGAAAATTGCACTCGTCCCCTGCTTTTTATTTGCAAAATGAAACATAAAAATGAAGTTCTTTGCAAACATAAGGCTTGCTTTTTCTTCTCATTATTAGAAAAAAATAAAGGCTTGAAAATAATTATGAGTTTTAGCTGTGTACAGAGTGACAGCCTGCTATTCTGCAGGTTCATAACATATTACTTGCAGATCGGGGGTGGGGGAAAGAATTTTTACTTATCATCTTTGACTACGTAAGTTTCATTTCAGATTTTACATCCCACATCAGTGAACTGCAAAGAACGGTTGGCAAGGAGTGACACTGAATACCTTGCTTCTGTTAATTATCTGTTGGTACAAAGGCCTTTTTGGTACGCAGGGCGAGAAGTGGGTGATGCCCGAACCGGCACCACAGTTCCCTTGATCCTATTCATTTTGGAAAAGGATTGACTTAACTCCAGTGGATTTTAAAGACGGCCTTCAGACTCCAAACGCCATGAGTTTTAAAGGAACCAGAGTTTCCATCTTCCATGCTTTTTAGATTCCGTTTTGGATTTTTGCTTGGGAGTTGAGGAGTAAGGAGACTCTTGAGAGTAAGGCGAAGGTGCAACCTGAGTTTCCTCAATGGGATGGAGTTTTCTCAGAACCGGCTGGAGTTTGTCTTCTTGCTGCTTAAAATCCAGCTCCACGCTAGAAAGAAAAGACAGTGAAGAATTTAGAACTGGATTTTCCCCATGTGACGATCCCCTTTCATGATGGCAAGACATGGCAAATCTACCAGAGCCACGATCATTTCTAGTTTATGATATAATTTTATGACTTAGTGATCAGCAAGTGGCTGCACTCCTTTTTAGCTCCATGTTTCTGTGAAGCATTTCAAAGAGGCTCGTTTGCTTTGGAAAAAGAACACATTTGTTTCCGGGTGGAACTTTAACCTTTCGTTAACGTACACGGTTGGTGTACGTATTTGTGGAAATGGAAAACGTGCCATGTGAATCACCTCATTGTGTGTCCACAGACTGCTCACATAGAATAAAACAGATAAGCAAAAGGACGGGTAGGCGAGGGTCACCTTAATACATCTACGCCAGGTGCATGCAAGCTCTGTTTCTGTGCAATGTGTCACAAGATCAGAGAAATCTATTTATCTCACCTGCAGCAATTGTGAGAGGAAATGACCTTGCCTGATGTTCCCCTTGCAAAAGCTTATCCGTCTGAAAAACTGGTTAAAGCCACAGTGCCTGATGCTGGGGAAAACCTCGTGTGCACTGTCAGTGCGGTTGAGTATCATTCCATTGTTGTCAAACACAGTTTCTCATGGAGAAACGTGGGTAGTGTACAGTAAAAACAACACAAAAGTGTAATGACATTGCCGAAACCACAGCGTGCAAACGTAGCTACATGGAATGACATTTGCTAATAGTATTAATGTTTGTGTGAGAAAAATAGCGTTAAAGATGATTTTTAAAATATATGTTTTTTCTTATAACATTTCTCTGAAAAATGCCATCAGTTTGTGCAGACGCCTGTCTTCTCCTCATGCCTTTGGAAAGGACCACATTTGATATCTTAACTTTTAGACTTAACTGACCCGCTTGGCATTTGGGAAAAGACCCCTTAGTTCATGTGTTGTTCTTCCATGATGATCTCAGTACGGCCTCCCTTCCTTCTGCCCCCAACCTCCCAAGTCCCCAAGGTCTGGACCAGGGTGTGGCATCATGCCAGGCCTCGGGAGAATTCTGCTCTGTCCTCCTTCCATGTCTGGTCTGGTTACCAGACTAAATATCGGTAGACTTCACGAAAGGCTCAGCGATGATGATAATGCATGAGCTCATAACATTTTATAACCAGTGGAACCGTAAACCATTTATAAACATGAAATCCTATTGATTTAGAGAATCATTAATCCTAGCCAAATTTTGACATTTTGGAAAGACAAAAGAGCAAAACTCTAATATCTGGAGTTTTAAAACAAGTTCAAGACCCATCTAATGGACCATTTATGTTTTAAATTTACTGTTCCATCTTTCTTATTGTCAAAGACTATACTATTACTCAAAAAACGTTTAAAAATTGTCAGAGAAGTTTATGGCTAGTTAACCCCTTTCTCCCCAAACAAGGGTTATTCCTTCCCTACATTTCAAAGGACCCCTTTGAGTTATGCTGCCAGTTATAGGTCATAGGATAAAATCTTGTGAACTTGTGTCTTTCTCACCTAGAATGTTTGACAATAAAGGCACTAATCCCTCTTAAGAACAACTGCCTCTTCCACCTGATGTTGGTTTGGGAGTCAGGGGCTCTTTAAGCTTCAGTGCCCTTCACTTTGAGGAGAGTTAATACTTCATACCCTGCTCGTCTCACTACATTTTGGTAAGAATCTCTCCTCCCAACCCCCAAAAAAAGTTCATGAAAGAGTTTCCTAAACTATAAGATGCAATTTAAATACTATGTTATCCTTTGCTTCTTATTATCTGTGGATCACTGGTTTTATAATAAAAACAAGAGCTACATAATAAAGATGTCTATTAGAGAATTCTTTAACTTGGACATTTAACAAGGAAAACAAGAGCCTTTCAGTTGAGTCAGAATATGTGGTATGATAGGTACAGAAGAGGAGTTTTACCACAATGCTTGGCTAATATTGAAAGGCATGCTGTCCAGACCATAACCATTTCAACAGTCCCAGATCGGCTTTGAGTTATTAGGACAGAGGGCCGGTGCTAGCATTTCCTAGGCTAACAACAATTCTGGGTACCTGTAATTATTCCATTCCCACTAAGCAACTACACTGGAAATCCTGTTATTAACCAATTTATCACACCGCAGAACCATGCAGTCACAGAGTAATCTAATCTGAGTTCTTGTTAACAAAATGACTTGACTTCGTCAAGCTGATTCCTGCTTGTACTCCCCATTTTGCTGCACTGGTAAGCTGCAACTGGGGGTGGGTTTCTCAGTAGAGGATGTGGGTGTGCCTAGGCGTGCCCACTGGGAAATGTCAGCAGTGGTGGCCAGCAAGGTGACCGTGAATGTCCCCGCCCATCCGTAACATGCAAGTTGCAGTGGATCTGCTTTTGAGATGACAGGAGTGCCAGCTGGAAAATGCCCGGAAGGTGTGCGCTGGCTAGTGTGCAGGAATAATGTGTGTCGTTCTGTATACTGCTTCCTGTTGAGGGTCTCTTCTCGGGAAAGGAGCACACCGAGTCGCTGAGTTGAGTCTGAAGCAGACAGCTGGCTAGAGAGGGCGGTATCGGAAGGTTAAGAGTCTGGCCAACTCTGGCTGATAAAGATCAGAGGTCCCTTTGGTCTTAGTAGCCAAATGGCCAGAAGAAAGCAACACCTGCTATTCTGGCTAGAGTGGAAGGCTTGGATAAAAGCTGCTGGGAGACATTTTAGGGCACTGTGACTCCACTGTTCACAGATCTCGCTGTGTGCTTCAGACAGCAAGCTGTCCACATAGGGCCTGAGGGGGCCTGCCTGGAGGAGGATCCCTTGCTTTGGGTTTCACCTTCTTGCTGCCTAGCAGGTATGTGGTATGGGGGTGGGGGGTGGGGCAGTTAGGGGCAGTTACCACCCCTGGCGCCACATCTTTGTCCCTTGCAACTTTCTTTATGGTTGTTACTTCTCCCTATCTGAAACACCTTTCCCAGCTCACGGCATGGCTGGCCACTCTTTGTCCCACTGTTTGTCACCTCCTCATTGTCTGACTACCTTCCAAAAGATTGCCCATCATCCATTCTTTCTTATTTTCTTTCTGCATTAGCCACAGATAAATTTTGTTTCCATGCTATTTTGCCTGCATCTTCCCAAACGCAGGTGCCATGGCCGGGGATAACGTGTCATCCCATCTCTGTTCCAGGCAACTAGAGCTGGGCCTGAGTTGTGGCAGTTGCCTAAGTAATACTGCAGGATTAACAAATGAGAACAGAGCCTGCAAAGGCCAATTCTGCCTCGGTCTTAGTCCCAGTTGCCCTAGACTGCTTTGTTCTGGCCAAAAATAATGTCATTGCTTTCCCTCTACCTCCTATAATGAGATCCCCTCCTTGCCACTGACAAATAGGGCTTCTCGTGGAAGCAGTGTCGTTGCAGCCACTCCAGGTTGCCTGGTTCTAGTCTATCAGAACTTAATCGAAAAAGATTCTGAAACGTGTTCTGTCCATCACACACTGGGATCTTTTTGGAGCCTACGTCCCCTCCTCTCTTTTTTCTAGGACCCTGCAGTAAGGGGTGGGGTCAGCAGGGTATGCTTGTGAGTGCTAAAATTGCCCGCTGCTATGTGCTAAAGGGGACCTGAGTGTCACTTTTTTCCCTTTTCATTTTCCTGTGGACCCGAGGAGGGCCTGGGCTTTTCTGTGTGGTGTTTTTTTTTTTTAAGCACTGTCAAGTCAGACACCTCTAATGGTGTTGTTTGGACCTGCCTTCCTGGGGGCATTAGCAGCAGAGAAGCATATCTTTCAGCCGCAGGCAGATGGGAATCTGGACTTCAGACCTTGTGGTCTCTTAGGACTCGGCTGGAACATTGTGCAGCTCCCAGGCCTCCCGGCTGGAGGAATCTAGTATTTGTAATGTGTGGGCAAGAAGACATGCACACCATGCCGAATGCTTATTCCTCAGGAAGATTTGCAGCCTGGAAAAAGTCCTGCCTCTTGAGATTCAAAGTATGACTCGGAAGCGGCTGGAATCAGGCCAGTCTTACCTGGGTGAGGTGTTCTCTCCTTACAACGCCCGAATTAGACACAGGCCACAGACTGTGCTGGGCGAGAGGGAAGGATCCCTGGGCTGCTGGAGGTGGCTGCAAGGTATTAAGCCCTGGGAACTATGGTTATTTACCTTTGTAGCTCTCCTTGTCCTGTCTGCATCTCTGTCCTCCTGCCAGACAAGGGACACATCCAACAACACACTTGGTGTGAGGAGCTCCAAGGGCCTTGAAACTCTGTCGTCCTGCATAACCACTGCTTGCATTTTCTGTAACTCATTGAGATGTATGATGGAAGCAACTGAGGGTGGGCTTAATTTCTTTGTTTAGTTTTTTTCTCTTATAAATGAAAGTTTTAAGTGCGGGGGCTTTCTTATAACAGTATAATTCTGTATATTTCCGAGAAATAAAAACCTGCCCTGCATCTCGGGCTGCTCTCCAGCCTGCACCCAAGCTTCATTTTCTTCCCGGAGCCTGTGCTGGGCTTGCTAGTCACACTTCTCCTCGCCGTTCCATGTGATTCTGCAGAACCGTGTCTTCTTGCTTCTCGTTTATATTCTGTTTGTCTCATGTGCCTATAAATACTCTGGCCCTGCCACAGTTTCTTTAGCAGGCTATCACCATCCCCTCAAGATAATTGAAGAGGAATACATTTTAAAAATTCTTTTTCTCCAGTTGCTGCTGTGTATCAGTTAAGAGTTAAAAAGCCGGTGAGTTGGACTCCCCAGCGCTTGCTTGTCTCTTGGAGAAGAAAACCTAGAACCTCTGGCTTTTCCAGCCTCCACAGGGCTGTGTGCCGCCGTGGACAGCAGATCAGAGGCTGCTCTCTGCCTTTAATTCCCTTCAAATGAGACCTCAGAGTCCCCCAGCACTAACTGCAGCTCTGCACTGACTCACGTTTGGCCGCTGTGGATAAATCACCTTGCCTTGGGAACCTGAGCCTCCTGAGCTGTGAAATGATGGTCCTGGAGCTTTCCCACCCTACGGGGGGATC